GCCCAATTCTGTTCCTCGCTATGTTTCTGTGGTATCTTTCTATTCTAGTTCTCCTTTTATTTATTTGGCCATTGTTGCTCATCGTCATTGTTTTAACACTCTTACTCTTCCTAGATCCTGATTGGATAATTGCAAATAACCTATTTAAATCCTCATTTCCAGTTGGCAGACTCAACCACCTCATTGTGTCAAACTAAATACATATACATAGGTGATTCTAAAATATGTATTTTGAGAATAAGTCCTTATACCAGGCTTCAGACTCATGTAGCTGACTGCCTAATAATCCATTTTGAGGAGATGCTTTATCAGCATTTCCGATTAAACACAGCCAACGTGGAATCTTTCATCCTATCACCAGCAGCTCACAAACCTCTTATTCTTCTAGGCACTGAATTGTCCAATGCAAAAAGTGAGACATCATGCCCTTTTTTCTCTTGCACATCTATGTTTTTAATCTGTCATGAAGTCATGATAATTATTCCTTCAAAATGTGTCTTGAATTTGACATTTCTTTCACATCCCCAAAACTCCATTCCCGTACCATGGTTTGAACCCTCACTATTTTTGTCATAAATGACAATAATAGTTTCTAACCGATCTATCTCCATTACTGCCTATTAACTTGGAAAAGCCTCTAGAATAGCATCACCAAAATAAAAATCTAAACAAATAGTTTTACTACTTAAAATCCTTTCATGATTTCTTGCTTGATTTTTTTTCTTTGTTTAATTTTTTGTTTTATTTTTAATATTGTTTATATAGTGGAGAGGAATACACACCCATGTGGGTCTCTGAAGGTGAGTGGGACAGATGTTTCAGGGGTTTTTTTTCTTCTATGTCTGTAGTGGGGAAAAGGGAGGGGATGGCTCCTTGCTGCCAAACTACATCGACACCTGAGGATGGGAAATAGTCATTTGGTGCTATCTTAGAGACCATGATATGGGGACGAATGTTCCAAGCATGTTACCTGAGTAGTTTTGATAGTTCTGAGAAGTTGTTGGTTTCACTGTTCCTGGGTTGAGAAAACCTTCCAGGATCTACTTGTTGACAAAGTTCACCTTAGTGCATCCACAGACCCAAGAACATGTTGCAAAGCTTGGCCAGGAGAATTGTCCAACCTGTTCTGCTTCCCATCCACTGACAAGGCAGTTGACATCCCCTGCTGGCCTAGATGAGCTGCCCATCATGTCCCCCGTGTGCATCTGGGCATGCTGTGTACTACACAGGCATGAGCAACTGAGGAGTCCCAATTTGTGCCCTCCAAGGTCAGACCACACATCCTATGATTTTCCCTGTAGCCAGAGTCTGAGTCCAGCCATCTTGTTGGAGAGTCTCCCAAGAAACCTCACCCGGGGTGACCTCAGACTTGACTCTTGCATGTGCTAGCCTATGCAAGGTCAAGTTCAATCTGTCACCTTCACCAGCCAATGAACATACTGGTGTGAATACAGCTGCCTGTTCAGTTCCACCCCAGGCTCATATTACACAGTCCAACAGGTGCTGGAACCCACCAAGTATACCACAGACCTGGTCCTCACACATACCAGTATGTTCTCTGGCCTAGTCAGGGTGACTCCCAGTAACCACCACCAAGCACACCCCCAGCCCCTGGTTCTCACTAATGGTGTTTGTGCTGTTGTCTGACCTTGCCTGGCCTGCCTCCAGAACCAGCCCATATTTATCCCAACAGGTGCTGCAGCCCACTGTGCTCTGGCCTGCTCCTATCCCCAGCTCTCGCACTCACCAATGGGAGCTGTGGTCTAGCAGAGGACTTCCCAAAGTTCCCCTACCAGGCCCACTCACCAGCAAGGGAGCTCATGAGCTCCAGCAGGTGCTAGAGCCTAGCATAGTCTGCCCAGGCCACAGACCTAGTTCACATGTATGCTGGTAGTTGCTTAAGCCTTGCCCAGCCTGGTCTGTTCATAGTCAAGCTTTCACACGTACCAGTGAGAGTTGCAGCCCATCCAGGGAGTCCCTAGACTTGCCCTAACAGAACTGTTTGCAACCCCAATTCTTGTGCATGTTTGGTGGGTGTTTTGACCCAGTCTAGTCTGGTCCATCCACAATCTCAAATCTCACTGGCAAGTGTTGTAGCCCATCCCAGCAGGGCACAGCCCACACTGGGTCCTGGCTTTTGTGTGTGTGTCAGTAGGTGCTGTGTCCTGGCCCAGCCCAGCTGAGGAGTGCTGAGGAGTGCTGAGGAGTGCTACAGACTTACCCTAGCCCACCCACAGCTAGTGGCTCTTGTGCTCCTCAGCAGGAGGTAAGGCCTGGCAGGGAAGTTCCCCCAAGTTCCCTAGGAGTCCTGCTCACAGCCCCAGATCTGATGCATGCTCGCAGTTGTAGTGGTTTTGCTTGGCATGGTCTGCTGTCAATCCTGGGCTTTGCATGTTCTGGCGGGTGCTATAGCTTGGCCCTTCACTGAGCCTCAGCTCCCATGAGTGTCAGGTGGGTTCCCATCAGGTGAATTCTTTGGTCCAGCCTGACTGGCCTCTCACCACACCAGCTCTCCGTGCAAACCAACAGATGCTGTAACCCCAAACCCACAATCTGGTTCTGCCTCCAGTATCATAAGAAAATACTGTGAACAAGTATACATAAACCAGTTAAATGCCCTAAATGAAATGAACAGATTTCTGGATGCACAAAAGTTACTAGACCAAACTCAAAGAAACATAAAAGCTGAACAGACCTGTGAGTGGAGTGATTGAATCAGTAATTAAGAACCTTCTAACAAAACCTAACAGATGACTTCACTAATTCTATCAAATTCTGAAACAGGAATTATTTGTAGTTATTTTCAGACTCTTGCAAAAAATAGAAAGAACCATTTCCAAAACTGCATCCCTCACAAGAAGAAATATAGAACTATTTATATCCATGTTTCTTATGAATGTAAATGTAGAAATCTTCAATAAAATATTAGCAAATTTAATCCAACAGTATTTAAGGAGACTTTAACAAATTCATAGAGAAACTGAGTTATGTTTTTGTTGATGCGAAACATTTGAAATCCCTGGATACAAGGAGTTTTTTTAAAAGTCCATGAAAAATGTGTTCTATGAAAAAAGCTCCATGGATTCCAAGAAATTTTGTACCAAAATAAATCTATTTTTAATGCCTTTTCCAAGAATTTATTGAAGTAACTTTGTGTTATATAGATAGGAATTATGCACCATAACCAAATGAGATTCATATCAAGAATAAAATATTAAAAGGATATATCAACATAAAAATATCAGTGTTAACGTACTGCATTAATGAATGAAAGAAAACCACATAAACATGACAATTGATGAGAAAAAACATTTGGCAGATCTGTTTGAATAAAATAATCAGCAAACTAACAATACCAGCAACTTTAATATAACTAAGTATGTCTGATATGTGTTTTATCACATTAAAGTAACAAAACTGGGCCCGGCGCGATGGTGCAGTGGTTAAGGTCCTCGCCTTGCACGTCCAGGATCCCATAAGGGCGCCGGTTCTAATCCCGGCTGCCCGGCTTCCCATCCAGCTCCCTTCCTGTGGCCCGGGAAAGCAGTAGAGGACGGCCCAAAGCTTTGGGACCCTGCCACCCGCGTGGGAGACCTGGAAGAGGCTCCTGGCTTCGGATTGGCTCAGCTCCAGCCATTGCGGCCCCCTGGGGAGTGAATCATTGGATGGAAGATCTTCCTCTCTGTCTCTCCTCTGTATATCTGCCTTTCCAATAAAATAAAATAAATTTTTTTAAAAAAAAAAGTGACAAAACTGTTTTGGACAAAACTGTCATTTGCGATTGACTTAGAATCAGAGTATGTGAGCAGTCGCTCACATATGGAATCCCAGAGTTGCAGGCTTCACTTGCCGAGGCACAGTGATGACTTCACGTTTTGTAATGCTTTGGTGATTGGATGTTATTTGATTTTTGAGAAAGTAAATTGAAAGGGAAAGAGGGAAAGACAGAGAAAGAAATCTTCCGTCTGCTAGTTTCTTATCTAAATGGCCACAGTAGTGGGGCTTAGGCCAAGTCCAAGGTGAGAGTAGAGCTCCATCTGATCTCAATCATGGCTTGCAAATAGTTGGGCCGTCTGCTGCTGCTTTCCCGGGAAGCTGGAGTCGGTGCTGTGCCACTCTGACAGTCCCTGGGTAAATCTTTACCAATCTGTTTTCTTGGGGAGAAATGATTTACATGGATTGAAGGATGTATCCATACTTAGATTGTGTCATTCATTGTATGATCATGATTGTTGTTCTCTATCATTTTCCCTACAGTATATTTCAAATCATATAGTCCCTTTCCTGTCCTTGTCCTTTTTTCTGTTACATTATGCTATGATAGAAATAATTTGATAAATATGATCATCGTTGGTGGGTAAATTATATTGTACAACAGTGTGTACAGTTAATCTGATTTATATTCCAAATCTTAAATCTAAAACTTTATACTATAGTCACCATTCTGTATGTATACTTTTCAATAAATAGAAAAAGGCTTAAAAAGAACTGATACCTTTGGTTTTATGAAGAAATCTGAGGAGTCTTGTTTGAAGTAAGCATTTTGTCTGTTGTTTAAGGTTTACATAGCTTGGTTATATTCACGTTACTTGTGTAAACATACAGGTTTTTCTCAAGAATGTGAGTGTGTCAAGGGGCTATAGGAATATGGAAGATTAAGGAGACTGATGAATGAATCCTAGAAAACCACACACACACACAGCAAACAACAACAACAAAACCAGCGGTCATAAAGTTAGACATCCTAGCACTTCTTTACACCTTCCACCTTACAGTTAAGCCTTCGGGTTCCAGTCAGATACATCATATACCAAGTAATAAGGCCATTAGATTACTATGACTTTGATTTTGCAATTGTCACAATATCTTCTAATGCTTTTCTTTTTCTGTGACCTGCTTAAAAGGGACAGTGGGGTATTAACTTCTCAAGAGGTATATTTGGACCTGTATGATAATTGAATGCCTCAGTATAAATTAAGTCATTTTTTTGTATCTTTCAGTCTTAAGATGTAATCAGCGTGATTGTACCTCCTGAATTTGGATGAATTCTAGGACATGGGCAAGATCAGCTTGTAGACTTCTAAGACTGAACGTCATGGCATGGATCATAATGAACTCACTAAAGCAGATACTGCTCCTGAGATGGTCCTGCAAGCAGATAACCAGTGTGCTCTTTTGCTGATATTTTAGTTCTTGCCGTATAACTTTAAGCTGTCATAAATTCATTAACATCCCAATAAATTTTGTCTCTTGTTGTTGTCTTAGATATTACTACTGCCTAATAAATAATGTTTTAATTAATACTTCACCTGAACTCCAAATATAGCTAAAATGGATGTCAAAATGTGATATGTTCCTCCAAACGGCTACTTATTCATTGTCATGCGACAACACCACAGGGTTAATGGTAATATCAGAATATAAATCAAGATCTCAGAACATTTTCTTCACTTTAACATTTTTTTTTTTTGCATTTAAAATTGTTTAATTACCCGAGGAGGATAGAGAGACCAAAGGGGAGAAAGGGTACTCGCATCTAAGACTGGGCTGTGAGTGGAACTGGCTGCAGGCACCCAATCACTTGGAGCTGTACCGCTGCCTCCTGAGGGTAGCATTAGCAGGAAGCTGAAGTTACGACTTAAGAGTGAGGTAGCAAAGCCAGACATTCTGATATGGCATGAAGTTGCCTCAACTATTAAATCAAATGACCACCCAAAGCAGCTTTCATTATTTCACGCAGTTATTACTTGCTTATAAATTAGAGATTTATTAGAAAAGTATGTATAAACCCATATAGCTGTCTTCCAGGTGTCGTAAAAAAAGAGAACTTTTCTCAATTACAATAAAATATTTTCCTAAGCATATAGTGTATTTGAAAAAATCACATAACCATGACACATATTTAATGTATTCAAATAAGTTATGAAATTTGACTTCACAAAATAAATTTTCAGAATGTGAAATTTGAGTATTTAATTCAGTTAACTGAAATTGGTGCCTTGACCTAGAATCAAAGCATGTGAAATATTACAAATGATGTTATGATGTTAATTCTAGTAAAGAGTGGGCATTTGGTGCAACAGTGAAAAGGCTACCTAAGACTTCCTATATCAGAGCACCTGGGCTGTAGTTCCAGATTGGCTTCTGATTCGAGAACAGCCCAATGCCTTGAGACCCTGCCCCCTCACGGGAGACCCGGAAGAAGCTCCTGGCCTCTGGCTTCAGATCGGTGCAGCTCTGGCCTTTGCGGCCACTTGGAGAGTGACGGAAAGATCTTTGTCTCTGGCTCTCCTCTGCGTAAATATGACTTTCTAATAAAAATAATCTTTAAAAACACAAAATTTAAAAAAAAAAAAAAAACTTAAACGTTTCCAATCTAGCTCCCTGCCTGTGGCCTGGGAAAGCAGTTGAAGATGGCCCGAGGCCTTGGAACCCTGCACCCATGTGGCCAGGTCCGGAGGAGGTTCTTTGTTCCTGGCTTCAGACAGACTTGGTTCTGGCCATTGTGGCCAGGTGGGGTGTGGACCAGTGGATGGAAGATCTTTCTGTCTCTCCTCTCTGTAAATCTGCCTTTCCAATAAAAATAAATAAATCTCTGGCCCAGCACAATCACCTAGAAAAAAATAAATCAGTAAAACTTGCAAGTTGTTGGGGATAGGTATTTGTCATAGTAGTGAAGACACTGGGATGCCCACATCCTATATCAAAGTACCGGGGCTTGAGTCTCTGTTGAACTCCTGATTCCAGCTTCTTGCTAATGTGTGCCCTGGCAGGCAGCAGGTGATGGCTTGAGGCAATACATAAAAGACCTGGATTGGCTTCCTAGCTCCCTGTTTTGCCTTGGCATTTGGAAAATAATCTGATTAGCGCAGTGTGTGTGTGTGTGGGGGGTGCCTCTAAATAAATAAGCACAAAACAAGGATAAGAGTGATCAATTTCTGAAGTGATTAAAATGATACATGAAACACCTGCACTTCCTGTTAGAGCTCCTGATACGAGTCCTGGCTCTGCTTCTGCTTCCTGTTAATGCGCAGTTTGGCGATGGATGGCTTGAGTTACTTGGGTTGTTCCACTAGTGTGAAATACCCAGATGGAGTTCTAGATTCCTGGCTTTGACAGCGTCATCTCTGCCTGTAGTGCATATTTCAGAAGTGAACTCAACACGGCGCTATCTCTGTCTCTCACCCAACCTCATCATATCAAATAAAAACAAATAAGTATATTAAAGTCAAGAACAAAGATCCCAAAAGCAGCAGGAGAAAAGCAGCAACATACAGGAGAGTTCAAATAAAGTCAGTAAAGACCTTGTAAATCAAGATAAGACCATCTATTCAGAGTTCTGACCCTGCTAAACAAATATACTGTACCTAGCAAAGTTTTCTTTAAATAGAGGAGAAGTAAAGACATTCCTAGACAAAGATGAGGGATTTTAACACCAACAGGTTTTGTCTTATAAGAAATGTCAAAGGGAGATCCTGGTGCAATGGCCTAATGACTAAAGTCCTCACCTTAAACGTGCCAGGATCCCATATGGTTCTAATCCCGGCAGCTCCACTTCCCATCCAGCTCCCTGCCTGTGGCCTGGGAAAGCAGTTGAGGACGGCCCAAAGCCTTAGGACCCTGCACCCGTGTGGGAGACCCAGAAGAGCTCCTGGCTCCTGGCTTCAGATTGGCTCAGCTCTGGCAGTTGCGGTCACTTGGGGAGTGAATCATCAGATGGAAGATCTTCCTCTCTGTCTCTCCTCCTCTCTGTATATATAACCTTCCAATAAAAAAAATATATAAATAAATCTTTAAAAAATAAATGCCAAAGCGAGCTCTTTAAGGAGAAAGAAAAATATGCTTATTAGTAACAAACACTTAATGAATATAGGCACACTAATGCTTTTCCTCAAGGAAAAGAAAATTATTGATTTTTTTAAAAAGATGTATTTATTTTTATTGGAAAGGCAGATCTGATTTAAACAGAGAAGGAGATACAGAGAGAAAGATCTTCCAACCACTGCTTTACTTCCCAAATGGCTGCAAAAGCCTGAGGTGAGCCAATCCGAAGCCAGGAGCCAGGAGCTCTTCTGGGTCTCCCACACGGGTGCAGGGTCCTAAGGCTTTGGGCCGTCCTCGACTGCTTTCCCAGGCCACAAGCAGGGAGCTGGAAGGGAAGTGGAGCTGGATGGGATTAGACCGGTGCCCATATAGGATCCTGGTGTGTTCAAGGCCAGGACTTTAGCTACTAGGCTACTGTGCCGGGCCCACCAAGAGACTTGTAATTTTTCTTTCTCCTGTCTCCCTCTTTGCCAGTTTGTGCTTATGTGTGTGTGTGTGTGTGTTGCCTGTTTTAGCAATTTTCATTTTACCATGTTGCCTATAAATGGTATAAATGTTTCCTTCGGATTTAATTATCTGAGCTGTCTGGAATTTATTTTTGCATATATGTTAGGGTAAAAAGAAAAAAAGCTTCCTGCAAAGCAAAGTAAGTAACCAAGTGTTCCAGCAGACTATTGACCAATTCATCCTTTCTGATCATTTTATAATGTTTCCTTTGTTATAGATACCAGGGCCATTTTTAAGTTGATAATTGTGTGTGGTCAAGAATGATGTTATAAATATCCAAGTAATCCCTGGCAGAAAAAAGATCGCCACACCTGTGAAGATTGTTTCCTTCAAAAGATTGAAAATGGAAAATAAAAAAGCACCTGTAGAATTAGCAGAGTATAGGTCTAGATAGCTGCCTGAAAATGAACATGAACTAATAAACCGGCTCTGTACTCGGGCCTTTTTTCTTTCTTTTCTTTTTTTCTTTTTTTCCAGCAGTGCATCACCGGAACCTCACAGTGCAGCAGAAAAATCGGCCCTCAATCCCTGCTAAATCCCTCAGAAAAGAAAAAGACCAGACCGGCACCCTCAGAAAGACACAATCTAATTGGCCGAGCAGCAGCGTGTTCGCAAACGGATTGGTCTGCTCTTGAGTTTAAGCGGCCAGGAGGGCTGGCGGCGCGGGCTGCGTGTGGCGGGGATGAGGGCGCGGCGGGCGCTGGTAGAGGAGGCGGGGACGGCGGGGAGGGCGGTGGAGCAGGTGCTGTCTAGTGTCTCGGGGTGGGGATTGGTGAGAGTCTGGTCTTTTATGGCTGAACGGGGCATCGAGGTCGAAAACCGTGCTTGCCGCTGGCTGGTAGGGGTAGTGCCCAGTTCTGCAGAGGGGCTTCCTCGCCACAAGGCCGTTTGGCTTTGCGCTGACTCGGCTGTCTCCTCTGGAAATACACGTCCTCCTACGGAACGCTGAAGGCTCCAAATCTAGACCCCAAAGAGCTGCCTTCAATGTTCACAACTTCTGGTTGTGATCGCGCGCGTGTGTGTGTTTTGGGCAGGGTAGAGAATGTGGGGAGGCCTGAGTGTCTAAATGTAGTGGCAGGAGGCAAAAGCTTCGTGATCACAGCGATTCCCTTTATTCCTTAAGTGAGATATTAAAAATTCTGGGGCCTGGCGCGATAGCTTAATGGTTAAAAGTCCTCGACGTGAATGCACCCGGGATACCATATGGGCGCCGGTTGTAATCCCAGCGGCCCTGCTTCCCTTCCAGCTCCCTGCCTGTGGCCTGGGAAAGCAGTCGAGGACGGGCCAAAGCTTTGGGACCCTGCACCCGCGTGGGAGACCCGGAAGAGCTCCTGGCTCCTGGCTTCAGATTGGCTCGCTTTCAGCTGTTGCTGCCATTTGGGGAGTGAATCAACAGACGGAAGATCTTCCTCTCTGTCTCTTCTCCTCTCTGTAGATCTGACTTCCCAATAAAAGTAAATAATTTTTTAAAAATTATGAATGTGTACATAAATTGAGAATGACAGGATTTATGGGATTTGGTATTTGAAACAAAATGCATTGTTTGCAAAGAAAATTCAAGGAAAATGGAATCCAGCAGAGCTATTGTTAACTCAACAACCTCTACTACATTTCAAAAGATCATATAATCATTTCCTTTATTTACTCCCCCCCCCTTTTTGCATTGTAGTTTCACGTTGGGAAATTCATGTAAACTGGGGGTCTAAAATGTGTTGTGTGCTCTTGAAGAAATCATTTTTAACGAACTCGAAGAGAATAGCACATTTGTAAGGCAGGGCTCAGAAAGTGTATAGTCCTTGTGCCTAAGTCAGTGATTGTATGGCCTCAGTTCCTAACTCTACGAGAACAGGACTAGCCATTGGCTCCATTGCCACCAGATAACACGATGAAGAGTGATGAGATCACACGAGTCTAAAACATCACAGCATTTGAAAACACTCCGCTAAATGCCCAAGGCCTTGGTACCCTGCACCCACCTGAGAGATCCAGAAGCTCTGGTTCCCAA